TTATAAAAAAATAAAAAAATAAAAAATAAAAAGATTCCCAAGTCATTTGTATGCCTATTAAAGTTTGAGAAGTCCTGCTCTCTCTGGAGAAACTCGCAGTCTCCCTGGCGAAAGGTTAAGGGCCACAGTACAGACAGAGCAGTTAAAATGATCTTGACAGACATCCGACTTGTGTGTTTGTTCTTTCTTTTTAAGTTGCCAAATGGATTTTCAACATCATCATTTTGATTTTCTTGATTTGGGGGGAGAAAATAGTCTTTAAAACAGTCTTTTTAGAAATACGTTCTTAGAAATACTACTTTATGAGCTTGTTAAAACTTTAAGAACCATAAATCATTAAGTCGTCTCAGCAACTGTAAAGTTAGTCATTTGAAACAATCTGATGGGGACAGATGACTCAACGTCCTGTCTCTGCTATTCCTAGGTACTGGAATTTGGGAATGAAGGCGAGATTTTGTAAAAGAGCTCAAGTGTGGTTGCTATACAGATTATGATAGTATGCTAGTTTAAAGTCTAAAGAGGAAAAAAGAGAGGAGAGGACAGATTTTATTTTGTATTGTTATGTTTGTGCAAATAACTAAAGGAACATAAATTCATTAGCAGTCTGCTGCCCTCACACATTAGCTGTTTATAGTGTTTTATGTTCCTTTACCAACATTGTCCATCAACATAAATAATTTTCACATAGTTATAATCATGTTATATATGCAACTTTGTACTCTGCTCATGTCATTTAACGTGTTTCCCTCCTCCCCAACATCACCTTCCCTCCTCTCCCAGCTGTTCCTCTGCCTTCCTCCTCCTCCTCTCCCTCTCATCACTGGCCTCCCCAGCTCTATTCTCTGGTTCATCTTGGGCCCTCTACCACATTATTTCCTTTTTAAGAGTTTACGGAGATTCCCAGCTGCATGTCTGAGCATCAGTTTGATATTCTAGCCTCAGTTCTTCCTGGTTTGGCTGGCCCAAACACATCTCGCTTACTTCTCCACTATTACCTCCTCACAACTAGATCTTATTTTTCCTAGAGTCAGCTAATGATACATCTGCTCTGTGAAGCCAACTCAGGTCTCCCAGGGGCCTCGACTGACTTCTTGAAGTCATCATCTGCCTTTATACAATGGAGCTTGCCTTAATGGTTTCACAAGTAGGGGCCTAAAGGCACTAATCTTGTCTTTTCTTACTTCCCCTATTTGCCAGATGCTCAAGAATGATAGTTGCAGAGGACCCTGAGCAATTTTGTGCTAAGTTTTGCTGGCAGAAGAGTCATCAGAGGACAGACAGGTTCTTATACTAAGGATGCAAAAGATCAGAGTTGAGGCTATACCACTCTGAGTCCTCGAGCCTGAGTCCCTGGCTCACCTCTGCATTTTGAGTCTGCCAGGGGATGCTCTATTTTAGACTGTGGCAAACTTTAAACTTTGGGTTAGTTTATTTCCCTGAGTTGTTCAGTTGCTAAGAAATTTAGGAGATTAACTATAAAGAAGATAACTGATATTTTCAAAGAAAAATGATTTTAAAATTTTGAACCAAATTAAGAAAGTTAAATCAGAAACTTTGTCTAGTTATTAATAAAAGAGACTTGTGGGAGAAAGCATTTAAGCTAAGACATTGTTCAAGTCTATTGCCTTAGAATAAAAATTATCATTTCATCTTGTGCTGGTTAGCAGCTTTGAGTATCTTCAGAGACCTAGTTGGTACTTGGCAAAAAGGTTATAAAGAATATCCTCCAATAAAAAGGGCCAAGCTCCTGTCCAGCCTCAGATGTGAGTTTGAGAAGCAAAGGTGGGCTTTTGTGCAGCAAACTGAGCTTTTGCTTTTCAGACCGTCTAACTCACTGCATGTTAGCCTGTGGCGACAGTTTACTTATCAAACTTACCTTCAGCACAGAGGGAAGAGGTAGAACAGAATGGGTAAATTTAGAGAGATGGGATCAGGAAGCCATTAGAAAAGAGGCTTTTTAAGTAAAATGTTCCTCAACACAAATGGCTGCAGATAGAGTGATCATGCCTACCACTTCACCCGGGACAGTGTCTCTGTTTAAGCTTACTGTTCTGGTATGATTGATTATTTGCCCCCTTTCTCTCTCAAAAGTGTCTTGATTTGGATGATAAATTATACAGTCACCTTACTGACAATAAAATAATGATAAAATACTTTGTGCCAGACACTGTACCAAATGCTTTATGTAGTCCTCACAAAATACCTGAAAAATAGCTGCAGTTGCTGCTTGACAGATGAAAAGATGCTCAGAAAAGCTAGGTAACTTGACTGAGACCACATGGTGGCAGACCTGGTGAGCAAAGTAACTCACTATCAGACTTTTAAAGCTACTTAATTTTTCCCAGCCTGCCACATTGAGGGTTTAATGAGTATGGCCTCCATTGATTTTAGGATCTAGTGAAGAAGTCCTACAATGATAGTGAAAGCCTTTATCTGGAGGAAACACTGGAATGGAGAATGTCTGGATAAGGATAAAGGTGATGTCTGTAGTGCGGATGCTGGCACTGTATTTAGATCTCCACACTCTTAGGTGTTTGTAGCCATTTCTTCCTAAATGTCCTTAAACAGACCTGTTGCTCATGCCTGGGGTCTTTCAGCTTTGGGTGGGAAGGTTGTGGTGGTTGTGTGGATCAGGAGCTCAAACTTTTATATGGATGCATATCAACTGGGAATCTTGTTACAATGTAGACCAGTTCCATAGGTCTCAGGTGAGGCCTGAGAGTCTGTATTTATAACAAGCTCCTGGTGATGTTGATATTGCTGATCTGCCACACTATACTTTGGGCAGCAGGAGTATAGTTGATGATTAAATTCTCTCTGCCTGGGGTATGGGTGTAGTCATGTACACAAATGCCCTGATTTTAGAGGAGGAGGGGAAAAACAGTTGCTTCTAGACATAGATATCCTCACATTGGGGTGAAAGGGACTGTATAGATAGCTGGTTTGGTGGGGAATGGATACTTAAATATGAATGTTTTTAAAGGAAGTATTATACTTTGGTAATTAATACATACGAACTATTTTTAAAGTGTATCCTTACTTTGGGGGAAGGGTGGACTTAGAGAAGCAGGAGGGAGTGGTCTGGGTTGTGGGCAACATGAGCATGGGTGAGTTCTTGGTCAGTCTGAACAAGGCTTTGACAAACACAGACAGGGAGCAAGCAGAGTATCTACAGCCAGACGGGAATAATGGAGATGGATGACACAGCAACAAAGCTTTGGGAAAAAAAAAACCCCTCCAAGGGGAGGAGTCCCTCCCACAGAATGGCCATTTTCCCCTTCTACGCTATGCCTGAGTGCCTGTGGACATAAGGATATACTGCAGGGGTCTCTGGCCAGGTATCAGCTATTCCTGTGGCTAACAGCATCCCCCCTCCCCTTCACCCCGCTCCCAAGACCCTGTCATGGGTGGTCCTGGGTGGGCATGCTTTCTGTGTTTGGTTACTTCTTGTAACACATGGGAACAAGCAAGGTGGAGTGCTTCCAGCCTGGTCTAGGAGTGAGCAGCCTGCCTGCTGAGGCTGGGGCTTTTGCTCTACCCTCCATTCTGAGGAAGAGACCTTGTGACTGGAGGTCATGTTGGAAAAGGAGTGATGCAGGAGAGTATGTTGGCAAAGAGGAAATGGCAGAGGTTCCAGAAGCTCTGGCAGAGCTGGACTTTGTTGCTGGAGCTGTGAGTGGTCACAGAAATAGGGCCTTGGTCCTGGGCAGCACTCCTGAGAGAGGGCCCACGCTGCTAAAGGCATCTGTGATCCTCACAGCTTGCGGATACGGCTCTGAGTGCTCCTGAAAGGGCAAGAGAAACAGTATTGACAGAGCTGGGTGATGTGAGCTCCTGGGTGTGGGGTTTCTGATGGGGCATAATACTACATCTGAGACTCTCGTCTTTGGTTTGGGTCTGTCAGACACTGTTTTTTGGAGTGTTTCCTCAGTTTGTGCCTACAGTTGCCTAGGCATAGGCAGCTTGGTCCAGGGAGGGGAGGAGCTGGACCTGATATATCCGTTCATGACTAATGCCCATCGTTTTGGGGCTGAGGGAACCTGGGAACAGGGATTATCCTAGTAGGGCAAATCTTACTCTGGTATGTGGATTGTCGGCCATACCTAGAGCAGCCCAGTGACTACCCCCTCTCTACCAAAGCTGACCCCTTTTCTCGGCGATAAGCTGCTCCAGGCAAGCCTGGGGCACCAGGTGTTGTTCCCCCTGGGTCCAAGTATACAGTGTTTTTCTGAAGATTATCCCATTCCTCAGTGGTAAACACTGCTGTGTCAGGCTAGTGCTTAGAGGCCACTTGGAGCAGATAGATTTTTGCTAGCAGGATTGTGAAGCTTTGCATTGGGCTGCAAAACCAGGGCTTGAGCAAGCAGCTGGAGAGAGTCCAGGACTAGAGTGTTTTTGGGTTTGGGGGTGGAGAGCAGAGGGAGGAAAGGGAGGGGCAGGAGGGCAGAGCTACACAAGCAGCAGGCAGTCGGCTGCTTTGGCTTTGCTGTCAGCAGAGAGGACTTCAGTTGTGCCCCAGGGCCACTCGGCCACCATTGCTGGAGACCGGAGGGTGCTGCCTTGAAACCCTGACTTACCGGCACTGCACCCGGACTGTTCCAAGTAGCTGTTGTGCTGTCTTTTCCCTGGGAGGCAAGTCTCCTCCCTGTCGTCCCCTCCTGCTCCTCCCCCGTTCTGTGAGGGATGATGCCGCTCTCTATTGCACGGCTCAGCCGGCTGATGTCACTGGCAGCGGGAAGCATCAGCAGCCTGATCACATGCTGGCCCAGTCTGTAATGCAGACGGGATAGGGGTGTGTATGTGGGGAGGGGGGCTGTATGGCAACTGCTCTTGCTCTAACGCCGCCAAAAGTGCAGAGGCAGCGGCTGCAGCATCCAGCCGGCTTGGATGTCTGGTCCTTGAGCCTGGGGAAACTATTATTAACAATACTTATTGTTAATAATACTGGGGAAAACAGCCCTTAACTCTGGGGTTTCTACTGTCATCCTGTCCAAAGCAGACTTCCAGGACTCAGAAGAAACAGTTACAAGCAGGATGCTTTTCCCCACCTCTGCGCAAGATTCTTCCCGTGGCCTCCCAGATGCAAATGACTTGTGCCTTGGCCTGCAGTCCCTCAGTCTCACAGGCTGGGACCGACCCTGGAGCACCCAGGACTCTGATTCCACAGCCCAGAGCAGCACACACTCGGGTGAGTGCCAGAAAATGAGTTGGCTGGGGGAGGGGGATGCATGGGGTGGTGAGCAAAGATATCCACAGCAACAGTTGTTCGATTCCCCTTTGCATCACAATCTGCCCCCCCCCCCAACATGGAGCTGTTTTTGCAAGAGATAGAAATGCTGGCTGTGAGTCTGGCAGGACAGATGGTTGCTTGTAAAGGCAGGCATGGCTTTTCCACTTAACCCTGATAAATTCCCTGGAGTTGTTAGTCTGCACCTGGGGTGGCCATGAGAAGGGTCCCCAAGGTGACAGCCTTATGCAGAAAAGATCCAGCTAACCCCCTAGTGCCTAGGCCTGTCTTGGAGATGATGAAGCAAAACACTTTTAGGTGGGGGAGGGGACTTAAGGGGCTGATTACTGGATGTCCAGATTCTGTGAAGGATGGATGGTCCCTGAGTCATGGCAAGGGGGGTATTACCCCATCAGATGAGGCTGGGTAATACTGGGATATTGGAATTGGCTTAGCATGAGGTGAAGAGCATCAATCCTGGAAAGGGGTAGGCAGGGTAAGCGGGTGGAGTAACTCTCAGCTACAAAGGCTTTTTTTTTTCTTTCTTTGTGTTAAGGATAACCAAGTGGATGAAGGAAGAGCCACTCCCCTTTAGGATCCCTTGTTGTCTTGGAAAAATTTGATGGGGACAAACTGAAGGGGCTTCTTGGCAACCCCTTGAACTGCTTCTCGTCAGACCTTCCCATTGCCTATTTATTTCCTTCTTGTTTGTGGTACAAGGGGGAGGGTTGGCCAGACGCAAGTCTTGGAGTTTTCAGGAAGCCATGTGAACTTAAGAAATAACTATAGATAATAACTTAAAATCTACGTATTTTGTTTTATGTAAATTATAACTTAATAAAAAGAATTTCGGCAGCAGATACTTTAGCAAGACGGAAAGGTAGTGGAGGGGGGCAGCCATTTGCTCTTGGTGCTGACAGTGGGATTTACTGAGCCTGCCATCCTTCCCTTGCCTCCCCCACTCCAGAAACTGGCAGTCATGGCAGCAAGGTACTGCCTTGTTGATTTCTCTGGCCTCCACCCTATTTGGCACAGGTCTTTTTTTAGAATGCTTTGCAGAGCCTGGGACTGTTGTGTCTGTTGGCATTTTAATGCCGTGTCATTTCATTAAAATCCCATTTGATTGGGGGTAGGGGTTGGATTTTTTGGTTTGGTTGTGGATGGGGAAGAGCTTTGCCTTTAAGTAATGACCTCTGGAGTAAGGTAGAATTTCTTGAAGTACTGGCCTTCAGCTGACTCAGGCTTTTCCAGAAAGGTTGGTAACTGCCCTGTTCCCCTGGGCAAGGAAATGTGGTGTCACTGTTTGGTATCCTGTGCCTGGAGATCTTGGCTTGGAGGCCGTGGTAGTTTCTTTTATGTGGTACTCTAAAGCCAACCTGAGTGGCCTGTGAAGCTGACCTCGTCCTCATTCCCACTGTATCTGAGCAAAAGACAAGAGTTCACGCAGGAGATGGGCACCTGTCTGTGGTGATTGGTGTTTGACCCAGGCATTCTCCTTCACTGGTATCAGGTTGGGTCATGGCCCTTCTTTGGCGCTGGTTTCTCTTAGCTACAAGGGTCCTTCTGAAATGTGTTACAGCACATAGAAATACAGGACAGCCCAACTCGGGGCTTGGAGAGCTTGGCCTGAAAGTTACTGTGAAATTAGGCTGTAAAAAATAGCTTTGGTCCAGCCATAATGTCCCCAGCTTCCCCAGCACGTGAGAGGCCTGTGGCTATAGCTGTTTGTCTCTGAAGTGGGGATGGATTTACTTCTCCACCTTCCATCTCAAACACTTCAGTCATAAATATTACATGATTTTGTGGATGAGGGAGAGCTGTAGTCTGTGGCCCTAGCATTTATAGAGACCAGAGGGTTGCCCCAGTGGTATGCTCTGACTGTGTGGGCAGGGTTAGTGTGGGTATGTCTTCCTTTCCGAGGATTGAGGACACACCCATCCCCAATCTCCATGTTGTCCTTGGATTTTGGAGCTGTGGTGATGGCCATTTCTCTTCTTTCCCTGAGCTCTGGGTCTTCTTGGAAAACCCGCATTGGGGGTACCACCTCCTGGAGTAGGATGCAGCCCTCCCACCAGCCAGCTGCAGTGCCAGATCGTGCACACTTGCCAGCAGTGCAGGAACATGCAGCCCACATTCCAGTGCCTACACTGCCTTTCCTTCTGAAGACCAGCCAGCTCAGTTTCTTCAGGGAAGGAGGGGATATTTCAGCAGCTCTGGACAGTCTGGGAGTTATCCTTGCAGACAGCCTGGGACCCCGCTGTCTCTGCGTGGAGCACAGGGTAAAATAAAGCTTATTCCTTGGGCTCTGCTTGGTGCTATATTGCCCCAGGCAGCTATGGCCTCACATCTGACCATCTTCTACCACTCTTAAGTATTCAGCAATGTGAGGGGCAAGGTTGGAGATAGCAGGGATCTTGACTGAAAATCTTGGTTAAATTCATCCAACAAACATTGAGCACTGGCTATGTGCCAAACACTATGTTAGGCACTGGAGGTACATCCATGAATAAAATTGTTGCCCTTAAAATTCCCCATGACTATCAAGGGAAAACAGATGAGAAAGTATACCAAATGTAGCATGATAGTTGCTGTGATGGGGGCTTCCATTTTTTCCCTTAAGGATTTTTTTCACTGGAACAGCCTTTCATTGGGTTGTCAGCATGAGACTGGTACGGGGACTTTTCTCCAGGGGCTGGAGTCCTTCTGCTATGTGGACTTCAGAGGCCTGCAGGAAGACCTGGGGGTCGAGTCTGTTTTTGAGAGTTGTGCCTGTAAGGCCAGCATTGGTTTGGATGTGGCAGTTTGTGGGGTCCGTCTCTTCCTAGACTGTGTCTACCCTGAGGCCTCACCTCTTGCTGGGAAGGAAGCCTTGCAGGGCAAGATGAATGGTAAAAGTGTGTTTTTCTCTGAGACCCCAATGGCATGTGTCCAGGTCTACCTTTGTCCTACTTGCAGTGTCTTAAATCCTCTAATGGAACAGCAGGGCTATGAAAGCTATCCTCAATATCCTGGGATGGGGGATAGAGTGACTAATAACCACCATTTATTGACTACTTCCTATGCTAAGTACATCCTGTGATTTTAATGCTTGCGTAGTCCTGTGAAATGGGTACTATTATTGTGCCCATCTTAAAGATGAGGAAATAGGCTCACAGAGGTTGCAAAGTGCCAAAAGTGACACAACTACCAGAATTCCAACCCAAGTCTCTTTAGTTCCAAAACTCTACGCTTTCTGTCACACTTTTCTATGAGCAGAACTCTAATGTGTTGGGCAAGAACACTTACATTAAGGTATTCCTGTATACAACTCTGGGGCTGTTCAGCCAGACGTGATGTGTTCCCTTGCTGAGGGTCCCACAAGGCCGGGGCACACCACGGGCAGTTCTGACTTCTTCTCCACCCTGAGTCTCATTAACTGCACCACCCGGTGGATTTGTCTTCCTGCCATCCCCCTTTTGCATGCAGCGTTACTCAGCAGGAAGTGGGGTGACTGAGAATCTGCTTTGGGGGATCTGGAAACAAGGACTCCTAATGAATGTCTTGTACAGAAGCCCAGTGGGCAGACCAGATGCTCAGTCTAAGGATGCCAGAGGACATGTCCTGTTTCCTCCCACTCTCCTTTAGAAGTCCATTGGGGATTAACCTGTTCACCATCTCTGGTTTCTGCCCTAACTGCTAACCAGTGAATGGTATGTTCCCTGTGCTGTGTCATTTGCAGGCTCCCCATTGGTCTGCAGGCTAGATCAGCCTGAGATGAGAGGGGAATCTTCAGCGTTTTGCTTCTGCTGCTGCTATACTTCCAAACAGCCTGTCTGAGGTGACATTCAGAATAGGATTAGGTTCCTCCTCTGTGGAACGTAGACTTCCTGGGCCCAACTAAAGTCTCCTGCAAATCTACCTCAACTGTCCAGTTCACCACTACTGTATTCCCAGCATATAGCACAGTGCCTGGCTCATGGGTTTTTAATAAGAATTTATTGAATGAATGATGAGTGCTGGGCCACTGTGTTAATCCTGGGTGTTTTTGAACTGCAGAGGTCAGACAAGGTCTCTCCCATTCTCCTTCCTCCTGTTTGTGTTGATCAGCTGGATGGACAGATTCTTCAAAGATGAGTATCTCTGAGCCTCCATAGCTTTTAGGGCATGATGATGCATTTACAGAAAGTTTTTGTCATACACTGAAGCATGAATTCTATCATGGAGTCAAGTAGTCTGTTGAGGAATAGCTCTCACTGCAGAGAGGAGAGAGGGCCTGGGAAGCAGTGTGACAATGGGGTACCTGCTTTGAGGTGAGAAAGAAGTTGAGGTACAGGGACAGAGTATGTGCTGACCTTACATGGGACTTGGATATGTCATTTCTTCAGATAATGAAACTTGTCCAGTGATCAAGGTTGGGGAGAAATGCTATGTTGGGTACCACCTTGGACCTATGGGATCCAGAGTCAGTGGAGGGAGTTCATACTCAGAAGATCACCACCTGAGCTGGGGTGGGGTGTGGAGTTGCAGGGTTGAGGTCATAGGCAAAGAGCAGTCTGTTGTTAAACCTGGGATGAGTGCTGCCCTCCCCCTTCCTACCTCTCTACCTTCAGATAGATTTTGAGCAAGCAACCTTAGAACCAAGGGCTGGGATAGAAAAGAATGGTTCCCGGTATGCAGCTTTATATCTCAGGCTAGAAATAATGGGTCCTGGTCTGCGTTTTTCCCCATGACTACTCCAGTTAGATAACAGGCATCTGACTATGATGTCTTGGGCCTAGTCTTTCCCCGAGCTGAGCTCAAGCTCAGTGTCTTGCAACCCAAGCATCTGGTGCCAAGCTCTTGCTGCCATTGCTGCGGCCACCATCAGACACTGGGTGCCTTCATACTCTTTGGGGAAGGCTTCAGAAGATTTGAACAGTGACTCAGCTGTAAAACCCACAGGAGCTGGCACAGAAGGGTGAAAGTGGAGAAAGTTAACAATC